TAACCAGTATTTAAAATACTCAGAAATATTTAAAATAAAATATATTCCCTATATTTTACATTTTAAAAATTAAAATATGAAATACAATATTTGCAGCTGTATTTTTTTTTAAATACAAAAAATGTTTTATATTGTGTTCTAACTAAACAAAACAAATTTAACTAGGTTTCTTTAAGTTTTTTCCTATTTAAAATAATATAATTATAACTGTATTTTGTATTTCATATTCTTTAAACAATTTAAATACTTAGTTATTAAAATACACTTTATTTTGAAAAATCAAATTACCTAATATTTTAATTATTATATATTACAAAAAAATTAATCCCTGTTTCACTAAAACCCCTGGGGTCTTGAGTTCAGTACTTTTAAGGAAACGATTTTTCCTGATCAGCAGTTGTGTAAGGAGGTGATTTGACTGAAATCACACTTAGCTGCCAGATTTTTCTCCATAATTAATTATTTAATTAAGATTACCCACTTTTTAGAGCCTGGGTATGCCCCAGGAGGGTCTCCAGATTCCAAAGTCGAACCACATCTAATGTAACAGAATAAATAATTGCCTGACACAGTTGGATTCGAACCTGGGACCCAGAGCATAGCTTTGAGAATATAATGCCCTATTCTCTAATTTATCCCATTTTCACTACATATTTAAATAATAATTAAAATACATTTTGCCTAAATCTCTTTCAATTTAATATATTTTCCTTTTGTTGTTTTCCTTATAAAAATAAGAGGCTATTATTAAACATTGAGACACATGACCAGAATCAGTCTATCCTATTGGCCGTTTGGAAAATGATCACTTTTAAAACTTCAAGAGTCCATTTTTGAAATTAAACTTTAACTTTAAAGAAAAATTAAACATACTTGCATATTTTTTAAATATATAACCTGATTTCATCATTTAAAAGAGTGAGAATAATGCTTTAAGAATCATCTTCTAACTCAATTTCTATTTTCATGATAGTTGTCTACCGTTGGAATAAGGCCACTCAAATAAAAACTAGGTTAAAACTATATTTATTGTGTTGAATTTTGTAATAAATAGAATGAGCTTATGCTTATGAGATTTATGTTTCATTTCAGCTGGTGTATCGCAAGATAACAAGGCCTTAGACCGCCTCATGCACTGCTTCTGGTTGTGCTCTCCAGGTTGTCAAGAAACTGCATGATAAGGCCATTTTGGTAACCATACCAAGATAAAAAAAATGATACGCTATAAAGACAATTATTTTTATACTATAAATTAAAATTTTATATGTGAAATATTGATTGTAATTCTTACTCTGTACAAAGTTAATTTATACTACTACTTTATACATGTAAAATATAATTTAGTTTTTTTTTACTATTAATTCTCTTATCCTGATGTTGAATCAACAAAAATCAGTATAGTACTTTAAATTTCTCATATCGCTACTGCTAGTTTCTTTACAGAACAGTCCCATAACAACTGATTATTTCTTAATTTTTTATTAGTGTAATTTCATATTTTATTTTCTAATGAAGCAGACTACTTATATTGTAAATAACCTTATAAAAGTTAATTTTAAATAACAAGTTTTGGCGGGAATAGACGAATAGCCTTCCGCTTTTTATTGGGGAACTAGGTTATTTACACTCGTTATTATTAAAACAAAACCCCGGCACTGGATATAGACTTTTTGAGGGTGTTTAACTGTCGTTAGGAATTCGGGAATCTGATACCTTTTGTGACATTGAGTGAGAAAAAACAATAAGAATACATATATGAAATGTGGGACTTAGTAAACATACTTTGAATGAATTGACTCACCTGGTTTGTTATTCTTCAGTTGTGAGGCATATAGGACAACTAAATAAAATGACTTTTCACTACTGTATAATAAAACAATTTATTTTAACAACTGATAATAAATGAATATATTAAAGTCTTATAACTGTAGGCTTGATATTCTTAATCTTCAATGTCCTGCCTCTCTCTTCTGACAACCTCGTTTCTTCCTGTCCCAGGCTTCAGTCCTCTCGCCTTCGTGTCTCAGTCTCAAGTGCCTGGTGTCCTCTTCCAGCTGCTGCTAGCTGACGACCTTTTTTGTTCTTCATCGATTGTTTTTCGATATGAGACTTTTCAATGAATTTGTTCACTGCACAATTGAGTACAATTCATCGTGCAACCTCACATTCCTATATATTATATATTCCTTCTCATTCCCTCACATAAAGGAGTAAATACTGGGGAATGTCTACTACAATATATAGCAATTGCATACTACAAGATGTCACCTTTTGCACAAATAGAATAAACATGTAAAAAAGTTACATACAACCTTTGACACTAACAATAACGATATGGTTTTGATCAGGGAATAAATTTATAAAATTTAAAAATGCATACAATTACTCAGATGAAATATTACTTTTTTGGTTCTTGCTGTTAACTACTAAATAATATTAAGTTTTTCCCATACATGGCTTAACATTTCAAGGATTTTTACTTTCACTTACCTATGTATGTAATATATAGTAATGGTAAGTATTGCGGATCGTGATAATTTTCGGATCTGAGTTTTCAACTGGAATACACGTTTTAAGGTCCTTTGAGTATAAATAATCAAATCCCACAAAATGGTCTATGTATGTATGTTTATATGAACAGCCTACCTCAAAAATGAAAAGTTGTATAAAACTGAAATTGCGTACCTAAGGTTTATATATGCCTGGGATGTTACAGCAACATTGTCTTTAAAATTGGCATACCGGAAGTGGTACTCAATACCTTTGATTTAACACATTTTTCACAAAAACAGCTAACAATTTTGATTATACTCTCCAAGTCAGTGTATTGGTAAGTGGTTTTTAATATAAAGTAGGTTTTATCCTCATCGATGAAACCTGACAGAGCTTATATGCCGATGTTTTCAAAATGTCTTCCTCTAAAGTACCTTTAATTTTTTTTATTTAAAATAATTAAGAATTTCACATTTGAACCTGCCATAAAATATGGTTAAATATAGTGAATGAAGAAAATTGATAACTAAAGGAGAAATAAGGGTATGAAGCTCTGTTTAGCTGAAAGCGTCCGAAGTTTGCCAATCCTTACTCTTTACAGATACCCAGTAAACCTCTATACAAGTCTTTTATATTGCTAGTTTAACTTTTACGAATCACATACCTATAATTTGTTAAAAAGCATTTATGCGAAATGTTGAGAATTTACTAATATAAATCTAATAATATGCAATATTTACTAACATTAAGTTTATTTTTTTGACAAGTTTTGTGATAAATGTTTATGATAAAACTCAGAATTTTTCCAAAAGATCTATTTTTCCCCACAATCATTCATATTGTATGATACTATACCCAGTCATAAAAGGAAATGGAAATGCACAAGTTTAACATATTTGATAGGTGGGAAAAATATGGCAATCAATTGTTTTAAATGAAGTTATACAGCCGTTTTCACTTCGACTTTCTATAAGAAAATACCTATCTACTCTAAGGTTAGTAAATAAAAGTTGTGTGATGCGCGCACCACACCACATTTTTATCCTCATCTTCAGGGATATTCTTTGTTCTTTACATTATTTTTTTATTTATTTAAAAAAAAACTCGGAGATCAATCCGACTTTAAGCCCTTTTCACAACACACTAGATTATCGGCTTTGGTCCTAACTGGAGAGGATAGCATGGCACAGAGCATACCCTAATTTGGAAAGCCTCAAACAATCTCTGGTCCGAGCAGTTGAGCACTTTCCTCAAGAAATGCTGCGTGCTTCTATTGATGATTGGCCATAGAGATTAAATGCCTGTGTCAAGGAAAAAGAGAGACATTTTGAGTAATTTCTCTTTTGTTTTACTCTCTATAGATATACATTTCATTTTCTAATAAAGTTTTTGAAAAATTTAATTTTTCTGTTGAAATCTGTATATATTTCCTTGTAACAATATTTATAGGTATATAAGAAGAGAACCAAACGATCACAGATTATCGCCTATAACAGCCCCAATGCTGCGAGAAGACAAATGGTGGAAGTCAAGAGTCAATAGGCTTAAAAAAAAAAATTATTCATGATCACAAATAACTCTCAAAGTATAAATCATTTTAATAAAATAACAATTAATACACTTCTTATTTTAAAAATATAAATAACTCGTTACTTAAGTATATATTTTAGCATGTACTACTAATTTAATAGATCTAATAAATAAATTACTGAAAGCTATAAAATATATCATTTAATAAAAACAAAATGTAACAAATACACCATAGATACTTCATTTAATTTCATTATACAACTAAAACTATTTTATGACAATCATAAAAATGAGAGGGCTCGGACAAATAAGACATTACAAAAAACTTTGAAGTATAAAAAAATACAATAAATTCTATTATGGATTCAAACACATTAAAAACAATAAATTACATTTTAATAACAATAGCAAATGCGAAGCATCAAAAAATTGAAAATCATAATTCATATAAATCTTTATTTCAGACATTTACGATTTCTTCAAAATAGCACCAAGATCAATGGGCACAGTATACAAATAAAAAATTATTTTCAAAATAAAGCGATATGTGTTTTTACAGCACATCGTGAAAACATTTTTTATAAATACAAAGTTTGTTTGATACAAAATTATGCAATATATCACTAGCCAGGAACACTCACCCAAGATCAATTCTTCCACTTTGTATTCTGAAAATATAAATCAATAACAAAAATGGTCAGCTGATGTTTGTAGCTCACAATAACGGACTAAGAATTGTAAAGTTAACTTACAGTTCTTATTGCTTGCTCAGCATAGAAGTAATCATCAGATTGCGGGTGCAAACTTGTCTGATAGTTTAAAATACTCTCTTTATCCTTCAATTGTGTATAAACCTGCACAAACAAAATAATTTGGTGCTGAAATGAACAAATTACTAAAAAAAAAAGGGAAAAAAAATGTGAGTTTGTAAGTTATTTATAATTTTTCTGTATGTAAAAATATAAATCACTCAAAAACTAAACTATTACGATTAAGTAACATACATCAATAATAGTTCGGTGGCAATGAACTTTTTTAGCAGTCTCTAATTTCTTGTCAGTATTTGTTATTAGATCCAAATACTGCATAAGTACACTAACAGGTGCTCCGAGTGTATGCAGTTGAACAACGATACGTTCTAATGGCAGCTCAGTCTTCACTCTCTTATTTCCCATCCATCCCTAGAATAAAAGAAAATGAAATTTAATAGTAATTTTAATCTTCAATATAATTACTATAAAAAAGAAATTAGGGCTATAAAATATATCATTTAGTAAAAACAAAATGTAACAAATACACCATAGATACTTCATTTAATTTCATTATACAACTAAAACTATTTTATGACAATCATAAAAATGGGAGGGCTCGGACAAATAAGACATAACAAAAAACTTTGATTCATAAAAAAATACAATAAATTCTATTATGGATTCAAAACATTAAAAACAATAAATAACATTTTAATAACAATAGCAAATGCGAAGCATCAAAAAATTGAAAATCATAATTCATATAAATTATGAGAAGAGGTATATAAGCAAACTCTATTATATTTTCTAAATGGAAAATAAATATAGAAGCTGGATTATAAAAATTAAAAGAAGTTCTTAGAAAATATTTACTTTGTTAAAAAATATCTGAATCCTAAGTCTGTGATACTCTAATTACCTATTCTAATTCTATTTAAAATTAAAAATTATACCAAAGTATTTAGTAAAAAATAATAATATATTTTATCATTAATTATTTTTCAACACAAATAATAATGAAAATATTGTTAAAATGATAAATACTTATTTTTTGACAAATAAGGATTTTATACAGATGTTCAAATGAGATTGAAACAGCTCTGATGTTTTATTAGATTCATGGATAAATAATTAACAATATTATACATAAAAGTAATATTGTTCAAAATTTTATTAAAAATAGATGACAATAATTTATTACTTTCATTTACTTATTCATGACTTATTAGTATTCACTCATTTATGAAATTTATAGTAAGTGAAAGTATTGTGATGATGAAAAATTTGGAATGTGAGTTTTAAATAGATATACCCCCTTTTAAGGTCCCCTAATTCTTAAATAACCAGTACTTGTAAAATGGTCTGTGTGCATGTGAATAGCCTCACTCAAAAATGAAACATTTCGAAAAACTGAAATTACTTATTTAAGGTAGGTTCATTAAAATAAACTTACCAGAAATAAATAAATAAACTTACCATATAAAGTGCTACTTCATATAAACTATTTTACACTCTTATACAATTTTCTGGTAAACAGCTCTAACGATTTTGATTAAACTCATTTTTCAAAATGACTTATTTTAAAGTACCTTTAATTTGGTTTATTTGAAATAATTATACTTATATTGTTTATAACAAACCTTGGTGATAATCAAATTATCAATATCAGCCCAAGAACCTGCTCTTGCATTCAGCGCAACCCAATGAAACAAGCGCTCAGAAACACCTTGCTCTTGGACAAGTGATAATGGTGAAAGAGATCCTTTTGAATCCCAATGATTTCTACAAGTGTAATCCAGGTAAGCAGAAACTGACTCCCCACTAGGTTTTCCTGATGCCGCTTCCCATTCTAAATTTTAAAAATACACAAAAATTATCTAAATTACGAGATGTAATCATTATTTTAAAAATACCTGAAAGTCATACCAAGAAGACGAATGAAATTGTCTACAATCACTTTATCTTTAGAATCCTGGAAATGGTTTCTTTGACAAAGTTTCAATCTTTGTAACTGTCTTTGAGGATTCGAGCAGGCTAAAGCAAAGTGTTTCATCTAAAAAATGTCAGTATAACAATGATTTTTAATTTGAAATAAAAAATATAAAACCAATCAAATTGAGACCAATATGCTGAACAAATTAAGCATTTGAGAAAAAAAAATTGATCGGCTAGTTAACTTAAAGTTTTTATATACCATGATCAAATACATTAATTTGCAAATGAAGAAGATCATTCAAAATAAGATTAAAAAGAAAAACACTTAATTCTTATTTAATGATTTTAATGTTTAAAAGGTAATTTACTTTTATATGTTTAGGAGTAATAAAGAAAATTGGCTAAAACTGTTTACGTTGGTTTTGGAGGGCTTAGGAATTAAAAGATAAATTAATTAAATTCAAAATTTTGAAAAACATTAATTTTTTTGTTTTAGAACCTTGACGGTCCACCCCAAGCAATAATTACTGCCTGAAGATGACGAAGCGTACTTGTTGGCAATTTGATGCCATCTTGAGGGCATTCTATTTCTGTAACAGTGCTGAGTGCAGTTCATCCAGAGTTTGTAGAGGGTTGTTCCGTCTTGAAATCCATTGTTGAAGTTGATCTCAATTAATGTTCGCTGGGATTTAGGTCTAGATAGCAAACAGACCAATTTTAAATTCCTAGGTGGGGATTTTCTTGATATTGAAAGAATGCATTTATTAGCTCTGAGGTCAAGCATTGTCATCCACAAAAAAAAATTTTGGACCAATGGCTTTCGTCATAGATTGCATTGCTGGTGCTGAGACCCTGTCTAGGTAACACTGAGCAGTCATAGTCTTATTTCGTAACACTACAATCTCTGTTCAAGAGTCTGAGGATATACCATCCCAGACTGCAATAGGGCTTCCTCTAAACGGGTAAAGAGGTAAGATCAGAGAATTGTATACCGCTATCCTGGTATTGACTCCTTCCAAAGCAGCAACAGCTGTTGCAAGCTCTACTGCTGTAAGGTGTGCAGACAATCTTTAATACCCAGATAAACTATTACAAAGAGTTAATAAAAATGGTTGGTAAACAAAAAAATAGGTTTACGAGAAATAAAGTGAAGTGAACAAAAGCGGTAAATTAAATAAAATGAGCATAATCCCCTTTTTTGTTTAAGTTTTAGAGAGTTTATGTCAAAGTAATTAGCCCATTGGGAGTATAAACAATCAACATTTTATAAACAGTTTATGGAATGATCCACTTCATTTGCAAATGAGTTCGTTCGATGTAGAGAGAGGCAAACTCATGCAGTATTAAGTTGAAAAGTTGAAATTAAAATTTTGTTTTTCCTAAGCCTCCAACATTATTTACAAAATATTTACTTTCAGATACATAAATTGGAAGATTGCAATTTAATTTTATATATTTGTAAATACAAATATATCTTGTATATTTGTGAATATTTTGTAAGTAATACAGGAGGTTTAAGGAAAAACCAAATGTTAGTTTGAACATCCAGTGGCATGAATTTGTACAAATCACATGAAAGCTCTATTTGCTATTATAGTAATAACTCAAAGACTATTACTTACTGAAGATTCTCTTGAATTTCCCAGCATTCTGCAACAAAAAAAAAAATTATTAATTTAAAAAAATATATACAATTTCTTGCTGATTGTAATCATTATTAACTTCTGCTTTAATTTAGTTGTTCATTGTTCACATAAACACAGACAATATTGCAAGACTTAGTTATTTGGACTCAGGGGACTTCAAAATGTGTATTTCTGTTGAAAACTCAGATTCCAAAATTTTCACGATCGCAATACTTTTCCTTACTATATATTACGTATATAGGTAAGGGGAAAGTAAAAACTATTAAGACAATATTGGTAAATATCTATATTATATTATTGAACAGATTAAAAATTAAATATGTGAAAAATTATTGTAATTATATTAACTCAAGATAAAATTTATAATTCTGGTTAATATGTTTAAATCATTAAACATCACACAAAAACAACATATATTTTTAAATTATCAAACATTATTATATAGATAACAAAAACCGTACTTACTCGAGCAAATCAGTAACTTCTTGAATTTGCATTCTTGTGGTAAGATATGTCACATAATGTTGTACAGCAATGGAAGAAGAGGACAAAATGTGACAAAATAAATTTTTCTTTAGCGTGTTTGCAAGAAATAACACAACCTAAAAGCATAAAATAAATAAAACCTGGAAGATGTTAGAGCAAAATAAAAAAAGATAAAAGGCTTTGTTACCATTAAAATAGCATCACCATCTCCTAATGCTACAGCACTTTTCAACAACTCTTTTTTACTATTAAGTGAACGATATAGTTCCAAAGAATAAGGCTGACCTGTCAAAATTCTCTTAAGTATATTATCAATTTCAGGAGGTGACCACCGACTCTATAAGCAACAACAATTATAAACATATATGTAATTAATAATTTTACCAAGATACATCTACATAACTATTCACTTACTTCAACTTGTCTTCTCAAAATATTTAATTCCTCATCTTTTGATTTAAACCCATCTTTGCTAAAACAAAACTCCTTATTTTCTGCTTCTAAAACTATTAAATTGTGGATTTAATTAAAACCATGACATAAAATAGTGGTCAAATTATTATGAAAACCTTACTTACTCGAATCAAGCTCTTTTTGAGGTACAAGTTGACTTAACTCCAATTCTAATGCTGTGTCATCATGAACTAAAACAAAATGAATGAACAATATAATTTTATAAAAGTTCGAAATAATCCTTTTTTTTTTTTAAATTAACAAACCAGGAAAAGCATCAAATATCTCCTTCTGGTTGGAACCAAGCCCTGCCTTTATCTGCTGAGATAATCTCGCTGTTCCTCCAAGAGAAACTCCACACATTTGTGTAGCAATAGACTAATAAAAAAAAAAAATGTAAAGCCCCATTCAAAATAATATTCATATAAAAATAATTTGAAAAACTACCTCATCGTCATCAAAATTATAACCCTTAACATCACTTTTCTCCCAAAAATCATCTCCTGAAGCCATATCTCCAACATACTCAAATTGCAGGATATTTAAAAGATTCACTTGGCGATTAATTAAAATTAAAAACAAGAAAAAACAGGACTCGGTATAACCTTACCCTAACAATTTAACCTCTTCTTGTTTACTGTCATAGCAGTTCTTCAATAAAGCGACAGATAGAGGCAATAGTTACTTGAAGTTAACTTGACTTACCTCTTCCAGATGGTGCTGTGATCTTTTGCGCGCACTAATAAATAATACTGTTCCTTACTATATATTTTATATATAGGTAGGTGAATGTAAAAATTAAGTTCCCTCCTGCCTTTTGGTCAATTAGGTTTACACATTTAAAGAAATGCAATAAAGGTACTAATATACATTAACAATATATTTAATTATAAAATATGTAAATGATATTTATTGAAAATATTAAAGGAGAAGGTAATAAATAATTAGTGAGATTTATGTACTTATGTATAAAGATTTTTAGGGGTTGGTAGTACATTAAATTAATCAGTTCAAAGATGTGTTCAAAATGGATTTTCTGATAGTGTACCAATATCTGACATCCTCCTCGAAAAATGAGAATAATAAAATTTCAGAAACTCCTAGACCTCCATTCCATATATTTTCTCCTTGTATATTTGTTTACTTTTTTTTATTCTTGCCGAAAATTGCCACCTGTGAGCGACAAATTAAGATCTCTCACTGTCCACTAAGTATTTCAGGAACAACCATCTATCAGTAAGATCACGATACCTTAGGTTCCTATTTTTATCTTTAACTCTGATTTATCCCAAAATTTTTATTTGATTGTTTTTGGTGTGTGTTTAAATTATGATTTATCTATTTTTTAACTTATCTTGATGAAGGAATTGGGTATTTAATGGGTGTCAGCTACTGGAGATTTATAATGGGGCCTTTAGCCAGTAGCTGATAGGCCTGTGCTAGTATTAATTCAAAGAGATATTCTTAATATGGCAGGTCTTAAAAACGGGCCCATTCACTACTGTCTCATTAAAAAAAAATTTGCGAATGATTTGGATTAAATATAAAGAAAGAATAAGTTTTCCCATTGCCAAAAACAGATTCTTGATAGTCATCAGCATTTATTGATAAATTAAGGTTTGGAAACGCAAGAAGTTAGTTTAAAAAATAATTTAAAGGTAATTTTTGTTAATTTTAAAATGAAGAATATGAAATTTCGCTAAATTACATCCTTGTTCTTATCCCTGTCAACTATAGGAGCATTCCAAATCAAACAGTGTCAGCTACTGATATAACAAAACTATTCTCTTAAATTTCAATTTTTTAAAATTTAGATGAATGTTTCATGGATTTGAAATATGTCTTGTTAAGGTAAGAAATAGTTCAATAAGATAAATACATCAAAAATTTAACATCAATATTTAAATTTTTACGTAAAAGTTCAAAGAAATTTCCTTAAACATGTCAGCTATTGGTGCATTTACCCTATATATATATATATATATATATATATATATATATATATATATATATATATATATATATATATATATATATATAATATAATATATATAATAAAAATATAATATTATATAATATATAATATATAATAAAAATAAATATAATTTATATATATATATATATATATATATATATATATATATATATATATATAAATTATATTTATTTTTATTTCCATTTCAGACTGAGTTTCAGACTACCATCAGGACTGTTCTCATGTAAGGTGCTGAGATACAGCTGGATCTTTTTTTAAATATATATCTCAATGTTTAAATTTAAATTTTTGTCTGAATAGGAAACTATTTATTTATTTCTTGTTTTTAAATGTCACTTTTCATGAGAACAACCCTGATGAAGTATGTAAAATTTGAAATATAAATATAAAGTATTCCATATGATGTAAAATATATTACATCATAGTTTAAACTAATGTTGAATTTAAATATCAATATATATATATAGAATAGAATAGAAGATATATATCTGTATATATATATATATATATATATATATATATATATATATATATATATATATATATATGCAATATTCGATGTGATGAAAATTTTAATTTGTCTGGTTTTATTATAGATATTTTAAGTTAATATTAACATTGAAAATACATTGTTGTATACTAAATTAAAGCTGATAAAATTTCCTTCAAAATTCAGAATAATTTATTTTGCATCTCTTACAGTTTTCGATATATTCACTAACTTAAATAGACAATTTTTGAAAAATTAATTTTCTCCTCTTATCCTTTTGTCAAACTTATCCTTTTAACATAACAACCTTTCGTTCTACAAGAATATTGTTTGAAAGAAAATTATAGAATATATTTTTTCTTTAAATGCATATAGATAGACTACACTAAATCTTTTATGAGTCTAAAGTTACGGCAGTTTTAAATAGTCTGCTAATGTCGCTTTAAAAAGGATATATTTGACTTAAACTAAAAAAAGTTCGAAATTTCAATGGTTTTTGGAACACTCCAGCGAACCCACAAGGCTTTCAAGAGCGAAAACACGAATGTTTTATATTCACTACATACCTAAGAATTTAAAAAATAAATTAGAATTACTCGACCATTTGCAAGGTAACATATCTAATTTGACTGGTATATATATGCATTGACGAAATTTAGCAGAATATTTAGAGCTTAAGACTACTCACAAAAGATAAATTAGTTGAGGATATATACATTCAATTGAAAAACTATATTATACAATTTTCTTTCTAACGATGTTCTTGTAGAACGAAAGTCTGTGGTTTTAAAAGGACAAGTTTGACAAAAAACGTGAAGCGAAAATACATTTTTCAAAAATTATTTATTTAAGTAAGTGAATATATCGAAAACCATGAGATGTGAAAGAAATTATTATGAACTTTCTTGAAGGAAATTTTATCAGCTTTAATTTTGTATACAACTATATCTCGTTTGCGACGCCTCGTCTTTAAGATATATGAGAGAATTTCGAAAAAGCACTCAACCATTTTTAACTGAACTTAGAGGAGGAAATTCGGTTGGACCTTTAAATCTGGTGATTCGTAGTAGTTTTTAGATAAATCCTCACGGATATTAAATATATTGAATTAAGTTCCCCCCAGTAAGGAACTTAATTCAACTTATGTCGGTACGTGTGATTTCTGATGAAATGAGAAAACCGGAGTTTTAAAAAAATTGTCACAAAAAATAACATATGAGACGAATATTTAATTTTTGAACTAATTATTTACTTATGACTTTGGAATGGTCTTTATTGTTAAGAAATTCGAGCAAAAATTCATAATAATTTTAACATATCTATACAAAAATTAAAATGAATGAAATTAGGGTATACTAATATTGATTAGCTAACAGAAAATAACGTTATGAGTGAAGGTTATGAGCGAGCTATATATATATATATATATATATATATATATAATTAATAAATATGATTACGTAATATGGTATGGTGATGAATAAAAATTTGATTTGAATATTAAAAATCATTTATGATGATTTTATCACATTAGTCTTGTTGAGCAAGTTATGTAGTCCGGGATTAACCGAAGATTTAACCACGTGATCAACGGCAGAAGGTTTGAAAATTGAAAACAGTAGAGATGACAACCCTAATGCCAAAAATCCTCCAGTCAGACTGGACGCGTTTGGCTGTGGTAGAATTTAAAAAATCGCAAAAACTGCCAAAATTACGTGATCAACAGCAGGAAAAAAACATACTGGAATAGTTTCAGACAACTAAGTAGATGACAGATTTAATAAAGACAAACAAAATTTTGGAAGCTTGATACGAATCTGACAGCTTTAAAATCTCAAAAAGTGCCAAAAATTACGTGACCAGCAGTAAGCAAAAAGTAGTTGGAATAGATTCAGAGAACTTTGTATGTAACAGATTTAATAAAGTCAGAGAAAATTTTGGAAGCTTTATAAGAATCTGACATCTTTAAACATCTCAAGAAGTCATCATCAGCAGGGAAAAATCGGTTAGAATACTTTCAGAGCACAATAATTTTATTATTGTTATTTTATGAAATCTCAATACATTTTTTGGAAGTTTTTCACGAATCTGAGATGCAAATTTGAAAAATGTATCAACAGTATGCTGTCAGCAGCAGGTAAAAAATGGTTGGAATAGTTTTATACCACTTAGTAGATAACTAATTTAATTAACTCTGACAATTATTTGGAAATTGTTCACGAATTTGAGAAGCAAATAGTTTCAGACTACTTTGTAGGGATCTGATGTAGAGCACTTATTACGTGCGGGGTAGTATAACAAAATTGGGAGCCGTTGGTCCAAGAGTTTTTCCTGCTGCCTATTTCAGCTTATCTATTAGGTTTATGAAAAATGTTGGTCAACTTGATAAACAAAAGCACAAAAATCCCAAATTAATGACACATAAGTTCGTTTATAAAAATTAATAAAAAGTAAGGTTAAAAAATGTCAGTTGTCCTCGTCATCTACAGAATCATAGTCTGTTTCTTGTTCAATGTCATATTCAGTTTCATCTTATCAAATCACCTTTACTCTCCGTCGTAAACCTATGACTTCTTGTCCTACAATATTCTTTAATAATATTCCACTTATTCCTGTTGAACAAATCCGCTACCAAGGTCTTTATTTGGACATTGGGAGTTGAGCTTTGGGACTCCACCAAACCATCAAATTCCTATTCTATCCAATCCTAATAATCCAAAATCCTTCGTAAATCCTTAAAGCTCCATATTTTAATACAAAGACTTTAATGTTCCATATGTCGCTGATTTAGCCCGAGCCAGATATTTATCCTTTCATGATAAACTCCAGTCTCATCCGAATTCACTTGTTGCCAGCCTAGCTACTTCCTCGATTCCTGATAATCCTCTCAGGCGTCTTGTAAGAAGATGACCTGTGATCTTCTTACCTAGAATGATCTAGGCAGTGCTACTACTGGGTAGTATCTGGACAAGTCTATTCACGTCATGGTTTCTAATTTGTACATATTTACTGGTTATATTTATTTAACACAGTTGTAAATTAAAAAAAAAAAGGTTTGAATCGATCTTTACAACATTTTTTACATTGACACCATAGGCGCAGACTTCGGGGAGAAGAGGGCTATCAACCTCAATAAAAATATTGAGAGGGCGAGAATATCAATTCACCTCCTCCCCCCCCCCTCCTAATAATTTGATGTAAAAAAATTAAAAATGATAAAAAATAAGTTACGTGAATGAATATACGTAAACTAAAATAGATTAAGAAAAGTTGCTAGCTGGTTA